TAAATTAAAGCAACATTATGTAACTTTTGGCGCTCTAGCGGTTAATAAACAGAACTGTACGCATCCCGCGGAAGAACATTCTAACCGGAGCTACTTCTCCAAGTTTATGTCTATGGCGATTCACGCAGGTATGTGTTACTCCGCAGCGGTGACGACCCGAACAGGCTACAATAGTCCGAATATAAGCACTTATTATAAGAGTACCGTAGTGATTCGGCATAAGACAAAAAAGCGGTTTGGAAGATTAATTCATTATGTACTCGCTCATTATATACATTTTGCAAATTTTGACCACAGAAAAGTTACATAGTGCTGCTTTAATATATATAATTAAATTTTGTCCCAATGAGACCTTTAAAGATGCTACACTTGTGAGTGGAACAAAGACCAACACTGCACCACACTGAATGAGGCTTTCTGTCAAAAGCAGAGGCTGCAAGAGCACTTCAAACAAACAATGAGAAATTGTTATGCCACACAGCCTTGGCAAGAAAACAAGACCTTGTTTGACCATTTAAAGTGTTTAAAATTTATGTGGAACCCTAAAAGTGGCTAAATGTGAATCATTTAGTATAATGCAGAACATATATCTGAGTTTTGTGCCCTCAGGTCTGGACCCAGCAGGCCCAATGTTCAAGAGTGCTGATCCATTTGACCGTCTGGATTCATCTGATGCTTTGTTTGTTGAGGCCATACACACTGACTCTGACTGTAAGAGTGAATCAGTCCTTTAGCTGAAATTACATAAACTGATTTTTATTTTTTCATGAACACAGTCTAATATTGACCTGGGCATGTTTTTTGACAGATTTATTATCTTGATTTACTATCTAACCGCAAGACTTTGTATAAGTATACCGTTGGTGCTATTGTCAATACAGAAGTACAGATTATTTGTGCACAACTGAACTGAATATCTGTGCATTTGCCAGACTTTGGTATATCTATTCCTGTTGGGCATGTGGACTTCTTCTTAAATGGTGGAATGGACCAAGCCGGTTGTGCACGCTCAAGGTTTGCTTCAAGTAAGGGGACAACAAAAGCTGTGACATTAAGCTAAATTAAATGTACCATAGCTTGATGATGAGAATCTGTCAGTTTTTATCTACTTTCCAGTGTATGGTTATGTCATTTGTGACCACATGAGGGCACTGCACGTCTACATGAGCGCCCTGAACAGCTCCTGTTCCCTTATTGGTTTCCCCTGCTCCAGTTATGAGGAATTCCTGGCAGGAAAATGCATCACCTGCCAGGGCCCCTTCAATGGCACATGCCCGCAAATAGGTAATGATGAGTTCTTTTTAGAAAGTGTTTAAAGAAACATCTTTGTCTATTTATGAACACACAAAGTGGAAAAGTTTTCATATTTACCAAAGTATTTAAAAGTAAAAAGTGAACTTTTTTTCTGAATAATAATTCTGAGGGGTTTTGCATGCTAATCTAATCTTGGATGGTTATGACCTTGATGTTCTAGTTCATTTAGGTGTTCAGTCAGGCATTTATTTTGTATACATTAATGTCTTACTCCAACTGGACAATGTATCACTTGAGGCTGATTATGTAACAACAGGATAATGTTGTTTCATGTCATGTATGATGCAAGCCTTGCCCAGGTGTGCTCCTTCACTGTGTTTTTATGTGTATGTATTTCAGGCTTGTTAAAGAATAGTGGGATAACGGCTAATCCCCTGCCAAATCAAGAGAAGGTCTATCTCCTGACCACTGCTACGGCTCCTTATTGTGGTGTGTATGATTTTGTGCATGTTGTCATTTATCAAAAATCCACTCTCACAGATAATGTAGGTATTAACCAGTGTTGGGGGTAACGCATTACAAGTAATGCGAGTTATGTAATCGGACTACTTTTTTGAAGTAACTACTAATGTAATGCGTTACTTTTTAATTTAGAAGGAAATATCTGAGTTGCTTTTTCAAGTAAGTAACTAAAGTTACTTTGTTTCCCATGTATTGACTGACAGCTCTTGTGTTGCCATATTGAGAGAAATCGGGAGTAAGTGCAAAGGCATTGTGTGCGCTGTGTAAACATGATGTTACTGTAGTAGACTAAATGTGAACATGCATTCACTCATCTCACCTGCACAAAAACAGATTCAGTGTTCCTCATCATAAATAAAAACAGTCAAATGCAAACTCAAAATATTACACAAACCTGCAATAATTAAATATGTTAAATATAGACAAATACCATTTATGTATTTAATCTCATTTTATTAACCAGTGTCTTTGCTACTGACCTTCGATGATCCAATTCAACCATACTAAGCAAAAATGACACATTTGTGTTTCATTTTTGTTATTGCTGAATAGTGTGGACTTTTTTTTCTCCTGCATCATATTCTTCATGCAATTTGTTTAGGCCGCGTCCTCTACTGTACAGACGTGAATTTACATTTCTTTCACTTCTGGTGTAAAAGGGCTTTTACTTTTTGTAAAAGAAGAAATGTTTTTATATAAAAAAAAAAAACAAGCAAGCCCTGCGCATATTTAAAAAGTAACTTAAAAGTAACAACGCATTCCATAAAAATGAACTTTTTAATTTGTATTCTTTTTTTTTTATTTTAATTACTTTTTTAATGAACGTAATTACTTTCTTTTTTAGGGAGTAACGCAATATTGTAATGCATTACTTTTAAAAGTAACTTTTCCCAACACTGGTATTAACATCTTGGTATTAACAGCTTTTTAGTAAGGATGCATCAGAGCGATCAGAAGTGACAGTAAAGACTTTTACATTACAAAAATTCCATTTCAAATAAATGCTGTTGTTTTGAACATTTTATGCATTAAATAATCCTAAAAGAAAGTATAACAGGTTTCTACAAAAAAATATTAAAGGGATAGTTCACCTAAATATGAAAAGTCTGTCATTAATTACTCACTACAAAAAATATTAAAGGGATAGTTCACTTAAAAATAAAGTCTGTCAATAATTACTCACCCTCATGTCGTTCCAAACCTGGACTATATTAATGATGTCCTTACTACCTTTCTGGGCCTTGAACGTGGTAGTTGCCTTGCTGTCTATGCAGGGTCAGAAAGCTCTCGGATTTCATCAAAAATATTTTTATTTGTGATCCGAAGATGAACAAAGGTCTTGGAACGACACGAGGGTGAGTAATTAATGACAAAAAATAAATTTTTGGGTGAACTAACACTATAAGCAGCACAACTCTTTTAAACATTGATAATAATAAGAAATGTTTCTTGAGCAACAAATCAAGATATTACAATGAATTCTGAAGACTGGAGTAACGGCTGCTGAAAACGGTTATTTAAGATTGTAATAATATTTCAAAATGTTACTGTATATTTGGTAAAATAATAATGCAGGTTAGCATACGAGACTTCTTTAAAAAACATTTTAAAAATGTTTGTGTATTACTCTGTTTAAGAGTTTATAAATGTGTTGTGTTAATGAAAAATACATTCCATTACTCTTTCAGCGCATCACATCCTAGTGGAATTGAAGGTTTCCGCTTTAGACAAGACTGCTGATGTTCAGCTCACCCTGATCTCTGTGGGACACCCCGAGACAGAGCTGAAACTCAAACTGTATGTATTATATTTCCAACAAGCCATAGCCTGTGTTCTTTTATTGCATGTTTACTCCTTTAACTGTTTAAATCAGGCGTGTGAATATCTTTGTACATATGTATTTCAGAAATACAGATGAATTGGTGCATAAAAAGTTGGCTGCACACCCAGAGCAACTGTGTAAAATTGACTCCGTGCAGCTGAAAAACACAGGAGCACGATTCTACAGACAAGGAGATATTCATTTTGAGTATATCTGCATCTCTGAAGTCCCTCAAACCAGGTAAATGCAGCCACAATGTTTGCCTTTAAACTCTTTTTCTCTTTCTGGGTACTCATTACACTATATGTCCCATGTAACACTGCATTTAATAATACTGTATTTCTGTTCAATTTGCAGAGGGCTGGATCCATTATGTGTGAAGAACATTAATATTGGACGGGGAGTGCCATGGTCACACGACTTTGTACAGTTGTGCTAAATTAAAAGAACAACACACAATCTACTTAAGAGAGCTTGTACGTAAGTCGTAAATTAGTGAGACTCAAGCGAAGGTCACACACTAAAACTTGGGTTGGGAGGCATTAAAGCTTGGCGACAAAGACATAAATAAGATACAAGGGGACTGAAATGCTTAAACTCTGTTAGATATATTTATTAAGTTTTAGCACTTATATAATGTACAATATGATTTTTGTGCTCTGTTCCAGAGAGTGTTAGTGAAATATCAGCCAAGAGGAATCAAGTCAGTCATTCAACACTCAGTAGTTCTTTTATGTGTTAAAATGTGTGTTGAAAGTACTGGTTCATTACCAATGATTAAAATGTTTGGAGTGGTGCAACACTCAAGGTACATTTCATTATTTTGGCACTCTGATTAGCGTCTCTAACTGCATACTGCATTCTTGATATTAAAAATTCAAATCTGTTCATTTACAATTAGTGATAAGTCACATTTTGAACCCAGCACTTAACAATTGGCCCCATGAAAATACATTTTCATCAAATGGTCAGTGTACAGTCTCAGAAGATGATGCTGAAGCATTTACTAACTTCCTATTATGATAAAGCACACACTTTTGTAATAAATCTCATTATCTATCTAATATAACTCTGAAGTGCTGTTAAAATTCATTTGTGTCTGAAAATCTAATTTGTTGCCTGTCTCATGTATTCCAAACAGATTTAAGTACTAAGCACATGCCAATACAAATAAAAATAAAACAGTCATTTTATGTGTAATGTGGAATCATATATAACAGTATCTGTTTTGGGAGGTTTGAGCTTTTGTCCTGTCACTGTCCAAAACAAAAGGACATTTAAAGAATATTTTTACTGTGCGGTGTTAATGTTGTCTTCATTTGTATGAGGGGAAACAGATTCGATGGTGATTTTGGTGGAGGAATCGTTCAGATGTTATGGTCTTTACACTGCTGAAACCATTCCTACAGCTTTGGGGTGTCAGTAGGGGCCAGTGGGGCACCTCCTCTTTGGAATCGAAGTCTTCCTGGATTATCATCCTCTGTTAGATTTATGGAAAAAGGTGACACATTAAAATGTCATTGAGAACACTGCAATAAATCCCATAACTCAATTCAGCATGTTTGTATCCAGCAGTGTAGTTCACATATTGTTTTCTGTAGCCCAGGCTGTATTTCTGGACATGATCCAAATATATCATTCCTTTGGAAACTAGCGTGTGAAGGTCATGTCTCAAATGACAGCAGAACCCTCCTCCTCCCACAGCTGTCCCACTATCCTGTACCCTACAAAGTGCAATATGGCCCTTGTTGGCAAAGCCAAGTATTCCGGATCCCTGGATGTCCCAAACCCCTTCCAGACTTTCATCCAGCCTCTGGCACAAGTCAGTGTATGTGGAAAAATAAAACCAGCCTTCTCCTAAGCATAGAAACATCTATCAAAAAATATCCTAGGACGGAAACACTGAATATAACTCCACTACCATGTACTAAATAAAACTTAGTTATCTCTCACCCAAGGAAGCCTTTTCCTCTTACCAGAATGCGCGTGTGTTAAATGAGGACATACTTTGTGTTGTGTTTGTTAAAGTTGAAGATACTCTAATTATTACAGAACACCCGACACAAATTAATGTAGAAATAATGACTATTAATTGCATTAAATCATGAATGAATAGTATCAATATAGCCTATTAATAATAATAATAACACGCCTACAATGTAAATTAAAGGAAAGATATTTATTATTATTTTAATTAATTGAAATCTAATTTTAATGTAATTTTAATTACATTTTAAATCAATAGCATTATAAATATAATAATTATTATTATTACTAGTACTATAGGCCTACAATATAATGTAAAAACATAAAATTCTAAAAAAATATAATGTAAAAAATGTAATATAAATGAATATGGTATTATTACTGTAATATTATTATTATTATTATTACAAGCCTAAAATTAAATCAATCAATTAAATTATATTGATAACACTATTCATATATACAAGTATATCATCAATATAATCATAATGAATTTAATAAAATAACATAATAATATTATTATTTTTACAAGCCTAACATTAAATTATGCAAAACAAATCAAATATATAAGTGAACAGTTTTATCAATATAATCAAAATTAATTTAATAATAATAAATTATAATTAAAACCGTATTCTTCTAGCATATTCATTTTCAATATAATTATGATATATATTTAATATTATTATACTAACTGACATCCCTTCCTTGCATAGAATTTATCAAATGGCAGTAAAGTCATAAATATAATCCAGGTCAAAAAGAAGTATACACTATAACAATTGATCATGCATATTCATCACTCTGCATTCTCTTAATCGGTCATTGTTTGTGCAGTTCAGTGTCCAGTTAGTGCAGTTGTGCCTTTTCATGCAAACCAGCCCCATCTTTACCGACCCACCAATCAATCCTTCCTTGTGTACTTACATTGTGATTTAAGAAGTGTCCCAGTGTGTTAGCATCAACACCCCAACCTTTACTTCAAATAATCTCTCTCACTCCCATAGTCCATTAGAGAGCCTGTCATATCAGCAAAGTCCTCCAGAACCAAGCTTGTTGAATCCTCACCAGAGGGCATCTCAGTGTCTGAGGGCCAGAGCTGGTGTGGAGGTTTGGGCACAGGGGTCTTTCCCTGGTCCGGATGGACGTTTCTTGCTTCTAAGGCCTGGTTAGACTGGGCTGGATCAATTGGCATGACTGTAGCATCTCCTTGGCTCCCCCTGGGCGGTGAACTAGCACTGCCACCCTCACTGCCCTGTGGCGAGGGGGCGAGGACGTGGTAGAGACTGGGCAGACGGATATCAAGGCGCACACCACTCTTGGCAAACAGCTTGTCATTGAGCGAGTAGAGTTTGTCAGCAATGTCACTCCCGAGCATGACTGAGAAAAGTCGGGCAATGTAACGATCCTTAGACAGCAGAAGGTAAAGCCGACGTCTGCGCCAAGAGATGTAACGGCAGTCCGTCTCTGCGGTCAGTGACACCTGAGGACAAAAGGGTCATGGGAAGTTTAAGAGCATGCAATATTTCATGGTTGTATGAACACTGAATAATTTTGCTCAATGGCGCAGGCTAAAAGAAGTTGCCAAGATGTACCGGATCACATTGGTACTAATTATAAAAACAGTATGTTATCGTACCTGGAAGTTGCCCTCCTCTGTAGGTCTTAGAGACTCCCATTCTGGAGAATCAAGAAACTGGTGAGGGAAGATATAATGGAGAAACTGACCTTCTAAGGACACTCTAATCCTGTAAAAGCAAAAGATCTGGTTTTAAACACAAATGCTAAGTCCTTAGAAATGTACCTTTTGTATTCATGTTCGTTTAATATGGATTTGAAAAACATTTGTAACATTTTCAAGAAGCATGAAATGAAAATTCACTCTAAATGCACAGTATTTAGAGTGAAATACATTACAATACAGAAAAAAGATCAGTCGCTACTTCCGTTTTATCGCAAAATGTAATGATTAAAAATGTAATACGGTGTAACCATCAAGTAAAAAGGAAGAAAAAACATTTATTTTAACCTTAAATACATACGAGTGTACACATCTAAAAAAAAATAATAAAAAATAAAAAAGTTTAAAACATATTTTTCAAGGTAAATATCACAAAAACCATAAATTAATCATTCAAAAATATAATTATGTTTTTGGGAAGTTTCACCACATTTCACATGACAGTCATGAGGTCTGCAGGGGTCCATTTCCTAAGTAATAATTGTTTTCTTTGCAACATGATTTGGCACACAAAAGTGTTTAATTAAGCAGCAAAGAAGTTTTATTAAAATAACTAGAGTACAGCGCTGACTGCTGTTACCCGGATGAGCCTATGGCAAGCCGTTTTGACTTTTATTCATTCTCAGGATATGAATTCTTGATATCAACAATTCAATTTTCACTAGTTAAAATGTTAATTCTTGATATCAGGAATTAGATTTCTACTAGTAACAATTGCTAAAACCGGGGCTATTAAAAATTCTGACGGGGCTATAGCCCCCCCTAGCCCCGGTGTAGCGCCGTCACTGGACCCTTGAGCAAGGCACCGAAACCCCAACTGCTCCCTGGGCACTGCAGCATTGGTTGCCCACTGCTTCTGGGTGTGTGTGTGTGTGTGTGTTCCACAGGGCCGTGTAATAATCTGAGATAACAACCGGCTGGATGTACATTATCCCTTACATAAAATGCCTTATTATATAATGGATAGAGAGTCGGACTTGTAACCCCGAAGGTCGTGGGTTTGAGTCTCAGGTCCAGCAGGGATTGTCGGTGGGGGGAGTGAATAACCAGCGCTCTCTCCACCCTCAATACCACGACTGAGGTGAGACCCTTGCAGGCATGTGCCAGAATTTTTTCTCTACCGGTGCTAAGGGGGGGCTAGACCAATATGTGGGGGTGCTAAGAAAATAAATGATATGCTCCCTGGGCACTGCAGCATTGGTTGCCCACTGCTTCTGTGTGTGTGTGTGTGTGTGTGTGTTTGTTCACTACTGCTGTGTGTGTGCACTTGGATGGGTTAAATGCAGAGCACAAATTCCAAGTATGGGACGTCACAAGTCATGTCCTTTCCTTTCCTATTATGCCCCAACTACTACTACCATTGTAATTAATGTAATTAATTGTAATGTATTTAATGGACTGTATACATTAATCACATTTTTGCTTATTGTTTTTTAATTAATCAATAGATAGGTCAAAAAAACATTATTGACCCACAAAATATTATTTCATGTTAATTATTACACTATACAACTGAGAATGTTGTCTTAGTATTGCGAGCTACTGCAAACATTAAGTACACCTTCAGGAAAATAAGCAGATATTTAGTGTGAGTTTTTACAGTAATAATAGTTTTAAAACTACTAGTTCAAGATCAATCACTAATCCGGAGAACTGTATGAGAGTATACAACTCTGCCAAACATTCTGTTTCTCACCTGCCAGAAAGAAGAAAAGACAGCTGATCAATGGGTGTCTTCCCCTCGACAGCATACGTCTCCTCAGCCGCTAGAGAGAGCGCTTTGTTCTCGCTGGCAGCCGTAATCTCCTTAAACACATGCACAGGTACATCCAGAGGCAGATAGACAGCTGTGTAAAGCGCAGAAAGCTCCTCGTTAGCTAAACCGTCCTGCATCAGCCGAAAAATCAGATGACACACCTGGGCCAAACACTGCAGCATCAGCAGCAAGTTCCAGAGGAAAACATCAAGGCCACACACTGTCAACCAGCCCCACAGAGCCAGACAGAGGAAAGCGGGAGCCAAAAAGCTGAAGATGTACAGAGCCCCATATGCTCCACTACCACCCATATAGCCCAAAAAAAGAATGGTGTTACCCAGATGGTAGATGGCACCTTCGGTGCTGTTGGTCCATCCATCGCAGAGAGTGTGATTGAAAATTATAGAGTCAATCAAGGTAGAGTCGCCACTATTCATATTTATGCTATGTGGTCTTCAATTCAATGGAAACTGAATATAAAAAAAAGAGCCTTGTTGGAAAAAGTAGTGGTTCATAAGCCCAAGGTGTTAAAATTTTGTTAAAAATATAAAACTAATGTCAGATATATATGAAAAAGATTGTTCCCCTCAGCCTCTAACAGCCAATACACCTCTTTCTGCCAAAAAATAGTTGGAATGAAAGAAGCTTCATAATTCCATTCCATTCAGTTCCGTTGACACCCACTTTTCCTTTCGAATTTGACAATATCAGCCCTATAGCGTCTCTGCTTCTGTTCCCTGTCCTGCACTGGACTGTTGGAAACATGGAGCTCGAGAGGCGGGGGTAGAGACCCTGAAAAGGATAACCATGTTTGGAATTGAAACCCAAGGAGGAAAGAGCCACAGACAGAAAACAGACTCGCTACTTAACATAACATAATGATGGCCGGGCAGAGTGATTACGATAACAAGTGACATGCACTGACGTCTGTGAAGATCTTTGAAAGCTCTGCCAGATGTCACCAACACTCGTTTTCTCAAAATCAAACAGACAATTTGTATTTCAGCTCTTCTAATGGTGTTTGAGGGGAGGAGGATACTAGGCTATGGGGGGCATATTTAGAGAATCTGAGACAGATAAAATAACAGGGGAGGTCATGTAACACTGTTTACCTCCCCTCCCTGGCCATTCCTTTTTGTAGTTTCACATAACTTGGCCCAGCAGTTGTTGGTAGTTAATATTCTGCTGCTTAGCAGTGGCGTGCAAGAGTGAGTGGATTCTGTTTCTTTTATTATTTAAGCAGAAGTTATGAGAATATTGTTGTGGAAAATGCCAACTGGCGTTGTTAGGCATGACAGCATATTCACAATACAGCATGTTCTTCAGTGGCCATTGCTTAGTTACTCCATAAATATCAAAATACTAAGGACAAATGGTAATTAACTCTTATTTTATAACATTAATTCATTAATTGCCATTCTTATAAGAATACAGAAATTTGGTTGTTTTCAGGCATCTATTCTTATGTAAAAAGACATTTCCAAGAATAATAATTATAGTAATTGCTAAGTTGCATGTTCCATCTTCACAAAGAACAAAGATTAATTGTGTTAATTTAGATCAACCGTAAAATTGGTAAATAAGGCACCAGCAAATGCATATTTAAATAAATAAATAAATAAATGCTCAGTTTTTCAATACGTTCATCATAAAATGACCAGTTGTTATGATCGAAACCAAATTAAAGTCCTAAAAATTCCACAGAAGGTTATATACTCGATTAAGAATTTGAAAATGAACTTCCTTCGCTTTTGGTGGTGCTGGAAATGTTAAATATTTTGTTCTTAATTTCTTATCTTCATCACTGGAAAAATAGAAAAACTAAGTCTTTGTTTGAGGAAAATGGATGTAATTTAAGGACAGAGGCTTTCCATATTGTGAGGTTTGGATAATTTAAGGTTAGTGAGAGCAGGTCTATTCATTCACCAAAGCTAGGGTAGATGAGGAACTGCATTATTTTGATATAAGACATCTGAATTACAGATTGTGGGAATTATGCAAGAAAAATAACAATCCATTTTGAGAGCTGCGCAGTGATATATGGTGTTTTAGCACAAATGGAATGCTCTATTGAACTACATTGCAATGACAAATTGCTTTGTGGTGTGATTAATAGATCCATTTGTTTTACCTCTTAATCATGACAGCTTATATAGATGGAAACATAACTGAAATGCACAGTCAATATACACTGGATATCTTGTGCAGCTTAACTAGCTGTTATAGATGATAAGAGAGTGTTAAAGTTACTATTCAGAGCTGTCAATTTGACATGTACCCTGCAAGAGAGGCATGCCGATAGAAATGTTCTCACTCACGTACTGTGTGCACAGTCTCATTGAAGTAAAGCACCATCAAAGCAGTTTGAATGACAGAAATAAACCAGAAAAAAACTATTGACATTTAATATATGAAAAATATCAATTATGCATTTGCATTTGTATTTAATGAATTGAACATCAAAATGTATAAGGTAATTATAAGCAGGAATAGTGAAACAAGCTAAATAAGCAATCTGTTCTTGTGTTTGTGTCAGGGACAAACTATAGGGACCAAACTAAAGGAGAAAATGCAAATTATGAATTGCTTTTGCTGGGTTCACACCAGGTGTAGATACAGAATAAAAGCGCTTCTGCGGGTAGACCTCAGATTAGAGTGTGCTGAGAGCAGCAGCTCTATTTTAGGCCTGCATAGTTAAGTGCAGCTGTCACCAGCCCAACGCTGGTACAGGGAATTCGAAAGCCAACCGAGTAGGAAGCTTGAAGGGACAGTCTGTTTGTGTAAAACTGCTTGGCCTGCAGTGTGTCAACAGACACTACTTCATAAATAATTTAATATGTGATAAAATAAGTAAATCAAGCATGTGATACATGTTGATTAGACTGAATAATTTAAAGTAGGCTGTAAAAAGAGAAAGCCAGCCTTGTTATAAGAATCTCTGCTTATTGCATACAAATAAGAAGTGAAGACACAAGAAAAGAGAATGGTTTAACATCTTGCATAGGATCTTTATTGACCATAAATGTATCACATATGAAAGAAAGAGAAAGAAAAGACAGACATTTCCCTTAGAGGAATAAATTCAGCCCTGTATAATCTTCCCTGCAGTGTAAAAAATATAAATAAACGAGCACACCGAGTCCCATTTCACACAGGTTGTCATTCACTACAAAAAGAAAGAAAAGACAAATAGAAAACATTATAACTTTAAATAAACACAAATGTCCTCAAAAAATAATATACAGAAGATTTTTTATTTATTTAAAGGAATAGATTTATTTAAAACATATATAAAGGGAGTTCAAATATGGAAGTTTTAGCATTATTTACCAATGGAGAGTTTTAGCAGAATATCTGAGCTGCTCTGTTTCATACAACATCATGAGGATCAGGGGCTGACAAGCTCCAAAAAAAGTAGTCCTTATGACTTATGCACTATATTCAGAGTCTTCTGAAGCTATATAATAGCTTTTTGTAAGGAACAGCCCTAAATGACAGCTGTGGACACCATTCACTTTTATTGTATGGAAGAGAACAGCTTGGCTATATGCTATAAATAACTCAGTCATGCAGAAGACATGTGGAAGCAAAAATGACCATTTTGAGGTGAACTGTTCCTTTGAATTAAATCTACAGTGCACGGAGATATCTGAAAATTGCATTAATAAAATTCAAGTTTGTGGTGCCCAAGGTGTGGAAAATAAAATGTGAGAAATATCACTAAGGATATTCTTTGTAAGAGATTAGTCATTTTTGTGACACTTACCATTCACTCAATCTGATGATGATGGTAGTTTTATATCTTAAAACCAAGTGCCCTCATGCACTCCTTGTGAGCTTCGATGAGGTCTGTGCAGCTTTCTTCTCCCTTTTCAATTATGCTGCAATGAAGACAGTATTGTGTCATGGTATCTTGCTAAAATGTATAGGGTGAGTTTAATCAAAAATAAAAATTGTGTCATTATTTACTAGTGCTGTCAAACGATTAATCGCATTCCAAAATAAAAGCTTTTGTTTACATAATATATGTATGTGTGCTGTGTATATTTATAATGTGTATATATATATATATATTTCAGAAAAATATGTTATGTTTATATATTAAATATATTTATTTATAATATACATTATATGAATATAGACATGTAAATACATGTAAATATTTTCAATATATATACTGTATGTGTGTGTATTTATACAGTATATACATAATAAATATACACAGAACACACACATATATTATGCAAACAAAAACTTTTTTGTATGCGATTAATCGTGATTATTTACTAATCACTATTATTTACTAACCCTCATGTTGCTCCAAACCAGCTTGATAGAACACACAAAGAGAAATTTGAAGAACTGCTCATGCCACAATACAACTCTTAACACTAGTTCAACAGTAATCAGAGTAGTTTTACAAGTGATACAGACTACTTTTATGGGGATTTGCATCCGTTAAAGCCTCATTGAGCAGTTCAGTCCTTTAAAAATTATTTTGTGCTTCACAGAAGAATGTAAGTCATGCTGGTTTGGGAAAACATGAAATAATTACATAAATAACAGAATTTAATTTATGTGCAAAAATATCCATTTAAAGCAGAAGTTAACTAATAGCTAAAAGTCTCCTCACCATCCATCTCGTGCTTTTTTGGTCTCAGGACACGCACAGCATGGTTTGAGAGGTTTCTTCTGCTCTGCCCCCTCTATTGCTGGTGAAGTCTCCACACTGGCTGCTGACAGGCTCGACATTTCCACTTACAAACGCTGTCTGAGAAAACAAAAGAGCATGGGACATTTATCAGCTCTATACTTCCGTTTCAACATTAGCCTACATTTTGCACAGCCAGCAGAGTGCGGCAAACTAGCCACCATGTCACTAACGTTAGTTACATCATGTTCTCTGCTCTTCATCGTTTCGTTAATATACTCAAATCCAGCCGTCCATACCTCGTTGTATCTTATCGGATGTAAAAGATATTCAGATCGTGGTGTCAGGTAATCTCAAATAAAATAAAATATCAAATGTACTCACTCTATATGATGTAGAGACTGATGTGCTCACGTGCGTCCTTCATTACACAACCTTGAACCTGCAGCTGTCAAAAAACAGGACAACCCCGCGGAAGTGTCGCGTAGCTTCCGGGTCAATGCCTTTAAACAAAAACAACAAAATTAACAACTAAGCTACTGCCATTTATTACACATATGATTTACATTCACACAGGTTAATGGCTAAAGGTAAACGAAACGCGATTCAATCTAAAATCAGGTCATGACAACATGCCGAACAATAAAATACAATAAAAGTCTTGTACAGAATAGAAGTCATTTAAAAGTTTAGGTTATTAATATTATTTATATTATCATAATATTTTTTATCATTAGCTAACATGTCAGTGTATTATTTTTAATACATATTTTAATATAATTTAAATTACACTTTTAATGGTTATCATATTGTCTCATAACATCATATTGTCAAACATAATCATGTGTTTGCAATTTATGCCAGATGAGTATTATGAACAATGTTTTTTCTGAGTAGGTATTTGCAGGCAAACTCACATAACTATACAACTATACTTACTTCACAGATGACTTCTGATATTAATGATAATAGATTTTTTTTTTTTTGAGAAGTGAGAATTCTGTGTGTGATCCATCTACTCTGTTTATTCAGGACAACTGCACTATCTATGCTTTTTTCAAGAACTGCTTAAAATATACTAGACCCCATACTCTACACATATTCAGCACATAAGTGGATCTCCAAAACAAGTGCAACAAGGGCACATATAGTTTTCATGTTGACCTTGCTTCTGATGTGTAACAGAGTTACATCTCTCTACAGAAAATAAAGTGCTTTCAGGGTTACTACATTGAGTATTTCCTATGATTATCACCATAAATTTAAATATGGTTGTCATAAGTGAGCTTTTGAGGACAGACTTATTGTAATTAAAAACTAATTTAAACAAGGAGGGGAATAATGGTTAGATCTAAACGATAATCAGTCTACCTGAAACAGAACCCAAACCCCAAAGTAGCTAAAACAATGCTGTCTTGTGTGCCTGTCACTGTGTGTGCAACTTACATCATGTCTGACACATTCTTTTTTCAAACACTGGCCAACAGCTTATATTGCAAAATATTGTTTTGATAAATGTTTATAGTGCCTTTCCCCTGCATTTTCTGCTACGTTCAGCATGCTATGAGCGGCAAAAATAGAACATTTCAGTCATGACGTCAATTTGTAGGCCAACACAGAATGCCAACTCAGCATGGACTCCACCAGGCATTTCTACTGGGGTTTTAGTATATATTTGTTTGTTTGTATGTTGTGTTGTACCTCATGAATTCAGAAAGTGCTGTGTCCGATTAATTACACATAATTTGTCAAGAATGTATTAATCAGAAAACCATTGCAGTGCTTATATACATTTTTAAACACAATGATTTCAGAATTTATGTGTCATGTGTTAGGCGCACACACACACACACATACAGTATATATATAGTAGTTAAATATATATTTTAAATATATGGGCAGTTGGTTATTAATATAATAAATATAAAAGTATATTTACTATTCTTGTGTACAGTTCATGTGTCATGTTAGGTATGAGACACATACATACATACATACATATATATACATACATATATATACATATATATATAGTTAAATATATAATTTTATGAATTATATTGGTAATTAGTTTGGCTATTAATATAATAATGATTAAGTATACCTTTTTATTATAAATATAATGATCTTGTTTTTTTATTTTAAAGTTTCACAGATTAAATTGTTGCATGGAAGCATCATTTTAGTATTTTAACTAGACTAGAAGCTTCACAGACAAGCGTGTTAATAAAATCAGTGACTAGTCATGTTTTAATTAATTCAGTCACCCACTTGATAACTGAATGCAATGTGATATGTAGATTACAATGAATGAATGAATGCAATTTAGGTGTTTGTTGCCTTCTGAGAACATAAGATCAGTTACATGTTACATTACTGGAATACCACTTTGAAATTCAACACTCTATTGTGACTCTCATAAACATAGTCTGCCAATGCAACACAATACTGTATTCAGTTTACTGGAGATCTAGTGAGCTCCACCATTGTGATGTGCTAAGCTGCAGGTTCTGTTTTTGATGTAAACACATCTACAATGAAAACACAGACCAGTTTCACCAGCTGCACCTAAGAAACATAGGTTAAACTCTGATTTCTCCAAAATCGGCTTTGCCTGCAAAAATAGATACCTGTATTCTGTCTCTTTCTAAAATAGCTAAATTATCTGAGCACTCTTTTGTGTTCATTAGAAAGAATCTCTTTGTCATATCAGTACAGTCATTTACGCACAATAAGAGTGTAAGTAATTCTATCACCTCCCATTGTCAGCCTTTGGTCCGGTTCTATCAGAACCATCTGTCTAGTTCAGATGACAATGGTTGTGATATTCAAAACCACCTTGTGTCAAAGTCAAAGAACCGCCCCGCAGTCCAGATGAGCTGAGCTGAGCTGATGTGAGCGCGAGGCACTGAATAGTTGATGAGACAATAGTTAGTTTGACAGAGGGGAAAGAATGGAAAGTCTGGAACTTATCACTTTCTCCATTCTGGACCGAGGCAGAGCACTGTGATGGAAAATTACTCTGCTGGCTGTGCATGTGCACGCGTGAGAGAGAGAGAGAGAGAAAGCAAGAGAGCGAGCGTGAAGACGAAGAAGAAAAGTGGATTAAATGGTCAGCATAAAAGAAAGTCCAGAAATAAAGTTGTCAGAGAGGCACGGTGAGAGATGTTAGTGGTGCTTCGGTGATCACAGTGCTTAGTCAGGGCCTGGAAATGCAGCGTCTCACACCTGAGAATCACAGCCGCTTCCGTTTGAGCAAGTGGAAAAACCTACTGCTGCCGCAGCTGAACAGACGCTCGCTGTATGTGTACGGCAGTGAAGTGGCTGTGGAGAAGGAGTGCGTCAGACAGAAAGAGGGAGGTGTGTTGGTCATCCATCCCTTCAGTCGTTTAAGGTACTGTAATCTGTCTTGGTGTTTTTATTTAGTAGATAAAAAAAAAAATGTTTTACCTTATTTTATACCTTTTAATTAAAATAATAAACTAAATAAAATTAAAAATAGAAATGGAATACAACTGAAAAAAGTAAAAAAAATTAAATTAAAATATGTTATAAAATAAAATAGAAAAATACTAATGCATTTTGAAAAGGACTGTCATGCAGAAATGCCATCTTTTAAAAATTTGTCCAACTCATGTCCTTATTTATGCAGGAGTCATTACATCATGTGTATGGTGGCCATAACATTTCTCAATCTAATTGGCATTCCAATGGAGATTGCCTTTCTAGATGGCAACAGTGGCGTAGGTTGGGAGGGTTTTAATGTGTTCTCGGACACTCTGTTCCTGATTGACGTGGGGCTTAACTTTCGCATGGGGATCATTAATGAGGACAGTGAGGTAAGGATTAGCTCTAGACATCACAAATATCACATTGCTTAAACTTCTGCAATGAATCTTTCTGTATGTTACACAGGGAGCCATTCTGGATTTGAAAAGCATTCGACAACAGTATTTAAAAAGCTGGTTTATACCTGATATGGTGGCAGCATTCCCAGTTGGTTACATACTACTTATTGCGGTAATGTGCCTTTTTCTGCAAAATCTTTTGGCTGTATTGAAATTACAAAGCTCCAAATGGAAAAAATGTTTTGTGCCATTGTCATGATAGGACCTACAATACCACGGTGACTCTCCCTCATCCAGAGCCAGCAAAATGATGCGCATCTTGATGTTTGTGAGAATCCTCAGTCTTGTCCGCCTGTTGCGTGTGTCAAGGCTTGTTAGGTTTATTAATGAGGTGGAGAGAGTAAGTAATGAATTGCTTGAACGTGAAACTGTCCTTATCTTAATGAGACAACACTGACTATCAGTTTTGTCATCATTCAGAAAAATTCTTGGAATAATGCTTTTGATTTTTATATTGAATCTCTGCCCAAATAGGTTTCAAATGCCAACTTGGAGGTGGTGAGGGTGTTCCTAAGAATCTTGTCGTTATTTATGATGATTTTCCTGCTGTGCCACTGGAATGGCTGTATTCAATATTTTGTGCCTATGCTTGAGGAGTTTCCCTCAGACTGCTGGGTTAGAAGAGAGAATCTAATGGTAAGTGTGTGAGCAGCATATTCACATAAACAGCATTACCACATTTATGTCATTAAATTTGAAAACTGTACTTGCAAGGCCTGTAAATATAATGGAAATGAATAATATTTTATACAGTCATGAAAACTTTAATAGTAAATATATATATATATATTAGATATGCTCTAGAAGGTAGTCTGACATCTTACCTATATATTATTCTGAAGCTGAGCATTGTAACAATATTACAGCATTAATAATACTGAAATCCTCTTAGGTCATTTTCAGTCCTATTAATAACTGTGTGAGTCTTCTCTGTGATACTAAGTTTAACCTATTAGAATTAATTACACTTTTAGAAAAAAGGTCCAAAATGTACTCATATGTACCATATATGGACTAATGTACCTTTAAGGTAGCAATATGCACCCTTTAGGGGTCAATAAAATACAAAGTGTACCTTTTCAAAAGGTAGTGCCCTATTGACAACTTTTGTGCCTTTTCTCTGAGACTGTATTACAGAAAGTGTGTAATATTTGTTGTTTTATGGTTTTAATGTATAAAATATAGTATTAATGTCAATGCTTTGTCTTATGTAATTTGTCAGAATGCCACAGTGGGAGAGAAGTACTCTTTTGGAGTCTTTCGGGCCCTCTCTCATATGACTGCAATATCATACGGTTCCTCTGAAACACCCACAAGCAAGGAGTATACTTTTGATCAGCTGATTTAGCCAAATGTTAATTTTATACCACAACAATCACAATGCACAACTGATACTTCTTTTAATACCTGATTTTTGTTTTTTTTAGATGAGGTTGAGCTTTGGATTGTCATGACTAGCATTGTGTCTGGAGCCCTCATGTACACAGTGATGGTCGCCAACACTGCTGCAATGATGACTGGTGTGGACATAACAGCAAGAGCGTACAAGAACAAGGTGCAAGGAAAACAAATATATTGCTAAAACAGCATATTCAATTTTTTTGGGGGGGTGTCATTCACATTTTCTGTTTTCTGTTCCCTTGTGTGTTTGTTTTTACATAGATGAATCATATGGAAGATTATATGACTTTCCTGAAGCTTCCCAAAGCCCTTCGTATGCGCATCAACGACTTCTTTCAGGCTCGTTATGCAGGAAAATGGTATGATGAGAAGGATGTCCTGAAGTGGGTGTCTTCATCTCTCAGAGAGGTACTGCTCACTGTTGGAATAGATAGTCACAGAAACGATTATTTAAAAGATGTTTGGCTCTTGTTTTTAACAGTAATGCAGTATTTTTATAGTTTATTGATTGTTTGGATGGATTTGTTAGGAAATTCTGATGACCATGTGCTCGTCCCATGTGAGAAAAGTTCCCTTTTTCCGGAACTGTGATATAAACTTCATCAATGCCGTTCTTCTGGAGCTGCAGTATGAGGTGTACCAGGAGGGTGACATCATCATCCGCCAGAACACTCCTGGTGACCGCTTGTTCTTCATCGAGCATGGGCAGGTCCTTGTGGAGAATGAGTTTTTCCAGAGGGAACTGTGTGATGGAGACTGCTTTGGAGGTTTGACTCGAGTCACGTTGCTTTTTCAATGCAGTGTCTGTTTAGACTATGTGCAGTAGTCTGTGTTGTTTGTAATACAATTTATTAGTAAGCTGTGTTAAAGGGATAGTTCACCCAAAAATTCTGTCATTATTTACTCACCCTCAAGTTGTTTCAAACCTATTTGAGTTTCTTTCTTCTGTTGAACACAAAAGAAGATATTTTGAAGAATATGCGTAACACATCATTTGACGGTAGCCATTGACTTCCATAGTATGGAAAGATACAAATCAAGTCAATGACTGACAGAATTTTCATTTTTGGGTGAACTATCCCTTTAAATAATGTCTTTCCTTCCCTTTTCCAGAGTCATGTCTCCTAACAAAAGGAAGGCGTTTGGCCACAGTACAAGCTCTGACTGTCTGTCAGCTTTTTTCCTTGTCGGTGGACTCTTTTCATTCTGTTCTGAAGGACTATCCAGACATCAGGAGGGACCTGGAGACATTTCAACAGGATAAAGACATTTTGTTATGTTGAGAAAGTAAGTTTTAGTTCTATCCATGACACAGTTTGAAAGTATATCTTTTCAAGATTCTTTAATGAAGAATAGCCTTTTTTTTAAATAGAGATTTTGTTACATTCTAAATATTTTCTTCTTTACTTGCTAGTTATTTACTAGTACTTTTGAATTATAAATGTATACATTTATTTTTTTTAAATCTAACTTACCCCAAACTTTTGAATGGTAGTGTTTATTATATACACTTTAAAAGTTATGTTAGGTAAGATAGGAAAAAAATCTTTTTAAAAATATAACACACTACATAATAAGGATAATTAAGGATGCAAGAGCTTAAATCATTTTGATCTCGATTTTGCATCTCTATTTTAATTGGTAGATGGCTACACTTGCATCAAGCCCCTCCTGCAGCTTCCTAAGCATGCACTTTGCCTGCTTTTGATTTGCCAGCTTTGCTTTACTTGGATCTTCCTCTATATTGGCATAGATTTCCAGATGTGGTTTTGGAATATTCTGTTCCTGCTGGTGGATGTGGGCTTAAGTATTCCCTTTTCTACAGTGTATAACAAGCTGTCGGAAAATGGACTTTGTATAGCAAATAAGGTATGACTTGGCAACCGCATTGGAATGGGATTCCTCTGAGAATACTGATAGGATGATTTTAGACTGTTTGTAGGCCACCTTCTCCAGCTTCTCTACTCCCTCCTGGCCTCCGCTGCTATACTACTTTCCAAGTGCCCACAGGAGGATGCACAGCTCACAGATAAGCATAACCAGTCACAATGTCATGTTGTTAGGACCTCTGCCGCTTGCTCCTCTAGTAGGTTTCTGCTTGTCTGCACCTCCAGGGTCTGCCTCTTAGCGTCTTCCTCTGAAGTATCCAGAACAGCACCCACTGGTGACCTTCATTTTCCTGTAGAGGACATTCATTTTATCTGACCAGGTCTTCACTGTAGGTATCTATCAGAGAAGCCTTGTTTAAAACAGAAAATATGTTTAATGTTTTGGCCAATATGTTAGTGCTTTCAAATTCAATTTTACGTTAAATATGTCCCACAAAAGTCAGCCGATTATTTCCAGAAATCAGCACAGAGGATGTACAAATTCTGTCGGGGCCTAGGAAAAACTCACCATAATTTACATTTTAAAAATTTTATTTTGGGGGGAAAGGGTCAAATTTGCTGTTTCATAAAATGAGCCATAGGTTGTAGAGATAATTGTAGCTCTGTTTTAAAAAAGTCTAATGTTTATAAAAGTCACATTTTAAAAAGATGTTAATAAAAATATTCCTGAATAAACAGTGAAGTTTGCTCTTGTTTTTTCTTCTGAAAACTTTTTGTGAAGATCACGCAACGTTTTTTTTTTCTCTCAATACAAAAAAATGCACTGTTCTTCTTTATTTTCAAGGGTAATATGTGACCATGTTTAAATTAGGCCTGTACTGTAAATCAGTGTAAATCAACAGTGACAGGAGTTTGATAACAGTGTTTCCTCTTAGCTGTCTATGAGTTAATTCCCATTCTCTGTAGGCCTTCAAAGAGAAAGTTTCATTAGTCACATATGTTGATAAGATACTCTTGCAGATTTAGAGAAACAAATAGGCCAGTCAAAGTTTAGGGAAACTTAAACACTGTCTCTACTCTGTCATGGACATATAAAACATACATTAATAAAAAAAAAATTTCAAACGAGTTTTTAATGTTCAGTCCTTTAATTTGAACTCTATTTATCTTTTTTTAACTTTTGTATTTATTATTCAAGTTTTATTTCATTTGGTTAATAAAATCAGAAGGAAACGTAGCCTAACTTAATTGTTTGTATTTGGGTAATATTTTCAAAATTGTTTTAGACAGATTCTAAGGGTGAACATTGTCACTAAACACAGAGATCTGTTAAACACAAGGGCAAAATAAATAAATAAATAAATATGCTGAAACCAATTCTTTTTTCGGAATCTTGCAAGACATAAATGTTAACTGCTTCGAAAATTAGTACGGTCAAGGACTGGAAAACCACCGAGCACGAAATGACGGCACAGAACGACAAGTGGCAGTAATGAGCCAAACGGTGTTTGGATGTGCGTCAAGTCTAACGAGTCAGACAAAACGAACCCGGATGTGCCGCGAAATTTGAAAGAAGAGTTCAGAGATATTTGTATGTCGTTGTCTGAATTCTATTTATAAAATCACAGTAACTTTGTTAAGGTATTATGCGATTTTATGCTGAACTGAATGTGCTCAAGACAGTATCTTTATCGTTTTTGTTATTGTGATAATTCACTTGTTATTGTACACTTTCCATATACGTTAAGCTGGACAGTCCGAAACAGTTACAGTTGATTGTTTATATGGCTGTAGAAAAGAAGGATTACAAGTATTATGCTTGTATATTATTATGGTAATATCATATGTAATAATATAATAGATTTTCTTATTATTACTAATTACTTACTGTCATTTCAGCTTGTGAAACAGGAGGGACGTTGAGAATGAATCCTTCAGAGCGTTTCTTTGCAAAGCTGCGGAAACTGACTGTTTATCTGGAGACTGAAAGCAACAATCTCCTTCACGCAAGTCAGAACCCTCAAGACGATGATGGTAAGTTGCCAGGAAATATTTTAAAGTTACTAATAACATGATCAGGTCATAAGTATGCATCTGTTGACTGGTGTATGTGATCTGTGTTATTCAGAGGATGAAGAGAATGGGGCTCAAGCTCTGTACCAGCTGCACTCTGAAGTCAGAGCATTGAAGGTATGTGTATGTTTAGTTATGGTTCATGATTTCACTTTATTTTTAAATATGGGCTTCATTTAACACAAAATCATGTGCAGCGGGAAGTTCAAAATCAGGTGGCTACACATGATGCAGCAAGTACTGAACTGAGGAACTTTGTAAGAAGATGCTTGGTGCTGAAGCAGAGAACCACAGAAGACATTGACAGGCTGAAGAAACACTATGAGAAGTATGGCTACAGACCACGAACAGCAAGACAGGGAAATGCAGGTGAATGTTTATTACATTTGGGAATGTTAACGTCCTGCTGCTTCTGCTTGGCTTTTGTATTTATTGTCTCTAATTGAAGATTAAAATAGACTTAGTTTGTTTTAAGTGTAGGCTTTGCTAAGATTTATGCTTATTTCAGTGGAAATGTTTTTTTATTCGCTCACTATTCTAGAGATGAATGGTACAAAAGATGCAGAAAAGTTGGATGCAGCAGATGAAGATGAAGCGATGGGACAAGGGATTTGTGAAGAGGCTCAGGAGCCTGAGACACCAGAGAAGATGCAACCACCCGTTGACCAGCTGCGGACCCCAAAGCTCTCCGATTTTGGTCTGTCTGCACTCCAGTTCCAAAGAGTGCTTGGTGAAGCAGAGCCGCCCCACAGTGCCGCTCCTGTCCCAGCTGTGGCTCTGTCACCACCACCATTTGTCATGAACATGCATCCACCGCAGCCAAAGACGCCCAAGTGCTCTCTGCGTATGGAGGAGGATGCTCCGACCCCACGACTAGAGGACTTTGGCATCTCTGAGTACACCATGTGCTGGAACAATGACTTTACCATGGATTTGTTCAACAAGAAACCACCAAAGACCAGCAGGTATGCCGCTTACTATGTCTGGGTGTGAATATCACATCACAAGGATGCTTTGCTTCAGAAAAGACTAAATATGCCACTTTCCAAACATGCTTTGAATTTTTTTAATTAACAAAATTTAGTCTAATAAGATAAATTTAATGCTGCTGCTTACACAAAACAGTAAGATACTTTACTACTGACATTCTGTACTTATTTTTGAAAGTGAAGTTATATATTATTTGAAATGTAATCTAACAGATCTCCACATGAAAAGACTTTTACACTCACCAAGACTGCATTTATTTGATCAAAGATACAGTGAAAACAGTAATGTTGTGAATTTAGTTGAATTTAATTTATTAATTTATTCCTGTTTATGGCAAAGCTGAATTTTCAGCATGCATTATTCTGGTCTAGTGTCACATGATCGTTCAGAAATCATTCTAATATACTGTTTTGGTGCTCAAGAAACATTTCTTCTTCAGAACTTTTGTAACATTATAAATGTTTTACTGTCAATTTAATGCATGCTTGCCGATTAATTTTTATTTTTTATGTATATATATTTAGCACATAATATGTGTGTTGGGTCTTTCACAGTGAAAGAACAGAGAATGGTCAGAAACCCTCTCATGTTTTCCCCACTTTGTCTTCTGGGCCTAACAAAGGTGTTGCCAACGGTAAATAATATCGACAGTTGTTTTCTTAATATTATAAATAGTTATCAACCTGTTTGGAGTTTTAAATAATTGTTTCTTAACAGTATAACATTTAGTTCCTGTAACCCTGAATGTGTGGTTACATTTGTGCGTTAACGATGTGTTACAAAAAATGCATTCTTGTTTTTTTTCTTCTCCAAGCTTCCCTTTTTTGATTTGCATTGTTGTGTTTAAATATTCCAGAGAGTCTGGAATCCCCAGAGCCTCCTGTGTTTTGCACCCCAGGATTTAAGATTGAGAAACACCGCGTCCCATCCTCTCCACCACTGAAAGGAAAGAATGACCTTGATTCTCCTCCTCACCCTAATAACTGCCCTTCTACACCAGAGCTCCCTGCATTTGAAACTCCTTTTGTCAGCAAGCTTATAAAAAAGGTATGATGCGCTCCTTAACTCATTACTTTAGTTACTAACATGTAAAAATCTACCACAATAGACATGACTAGTATTACATTAAACCATAATCACATATAATAGCATTTAAAATGTGTAATGGTTTCTCTCATTCACTGCAATTACTGTTTCAAAGGACGACAGGCAGGAAGAAAGCGATAGACACAGGGCATCACAGGAGGGCAGCTTTCCCCTAGCAGATCTCTCAAACACAAACAGAGCTCCTTCATTTGATGCTCCAGAGATGCCAAAACTGCTACGTTATGAGGATGAGGCCATACCTGAGATGCCGTCTCTGCAGTCCCTTTTTGGGAGTTCTCTTGCTTTCGTAAGTAATCATATTTTGATCTTTTAATCATTCAAATTGTATTATACCCTAGATTTGATGCTAAGCCTTATAAAAGAATTGGTGTATAGTTTCATTTATTGAGATGCACTTTACATTTGCCCTTCCTTTAACTCTGAATAGAAAAATGCATCTAGTGATGCTTCTGGGATGAAGATGGGGGCAGATCACGTGTTAGACCTGAAGCAGACACCTGTCACAATGCATGAAAACGGCTCCAACCAGGATTGGTGCCTTGCAACGCCAAAAGTCAGAATGAAGTTCCCTGCAGAGCCATGCACACCAGAGATGCCCGATATAAGTTCAGTCACTCAGGATATTTTAAAAGTGAGTCACTACCTTGTAATGCTGAAATGGCAATATTGCAAATATTGACTTATGCCAAAGAAAGAAAATAATAGAAGATAATGTTTTTTCTTTTTCTTTTTTAGCTTGTGGCTCAGTGCAAGTCTTAAGCATTTACTACTGAATCTGAGATGATGACCATGAAGCCTGGCTTTCAAAAAGTGGAACCAAGAGGAGAACAGCAGACTGTAGTCATAAAGTGATTCTATTGAATTATATTTGATTGTAAGAGCAAACACTTTTAAGGACACTTTAAACCATTTGAAAATAATACTTAATAAAGAGAATTAATAAAACAATGCCATTGATGGTTATGCAAATGGTACTGATTACACAAATGAGTTTGAAAAATTGAGACTAAATTAAGATGACTGAAGAATTACACAAATACTATATACACACACAGTATCTCACAGAAGTGAGTACACCCCTCACATTTTTGTAAATATTTTATTATATCTTTTCATGTGACAACACTGAAGAAATGACACTTTGATACAATGTAAAGTAGTGAGTGTACAGCTTGTATAACAGTGTATTTGGACATTTTCACTTTGGGGTGTACTCACTTTTGTGGCCAGTGGTTTAGACATTAATGGCTGTGTGTTGAGTTATTTTGAGGGGACAGCAAATTTACACTGTTATACAAGCTGTACACTCACTACTTTACATTGTAGCAAAGTGTCATTTCTTCAGTGTTGTCACATGAAAAGATATAATAAAATATTTACAAAAATGTGAGGGGTGTACTCACTTCTGTGAGATACTAATATATATATATATATATAGACTGGATTCATTTAAGTCAAAAAGTCAGTTTATACATGTTTACACGAG